AGGAAAATACTTTCCTTACTAAATAACTCCCATGAAAAATTCCCATAATGACATATATAAGTTTTATAAGATTCTTCAACTCCAAACCAACCAAAAAGCACCACCTCACACACAGAACTGCCCATTGGCATCAAAGATCATACTTAAAGCATCTATTCACAGTAGGCCCCACCTTTACACATCCTACACTATTTTCCTATAACTTTACAAAATCACACTTTTCTTTCGTGATGTTGTCCGGACCAACTTGTGCACATCCCAACTATTTCATGAGATACATGTTATCTCTCACCAGTTCAAGTACGAGATAACCTTGCCTCAGCAAAGCTTGGACAAATAAAACCTAACAACCTAGTGTTTTTTTTACTCCGAGCTCATCTCTCATTATTCTCATCCCACTTCATTAAAAAGCCTAATTAATTCAACTAAGCACACAGATCTATAGAACACATTTAATTAATCGACTTGCGTGTGAAAAAAGATTAGATCTTTAACAACGACCATAACTGAAGTATAGGGAGTATAGAGTCTACACAAACCTTACCAGTACTTCCAAATAGAGAGGCTGTTTTCGATAACTCTCGAAATAAAATAAAGCATTTCCAAGCAGTTTTGAAAAAGGTTAGAGCTTTGAACTAATAGAAAAAAAAACAGCATAAAGATTAACTAATCCACAAAGTTGTTATCTTTACCTGGAGTTTCTAAATCAACTTTAGGTTGCTGATGTACTTTACTAACTAACCCAACTGGCCGGATTTTCCCCCTTTTCTCCGACGATGAAAAATCAATCACCGGCGACGGAACAGATGATGAAATTGGCTTTGGAGAAAGAACATTTACAGACCCATCTGGTGCATACTTTCTTGGTCTCCCTCTCTTCTTTTTCACACTCAGAGCTGTTAAGCCGGCGCCGGCGCCGACAGACACAGCTATTGCCGGCGTTGGTGAAACAACAACAATCTGGGATGTCACAGTCTGTGTTGTCGGATTCTCAGTGGTCCTTGCTGCCACATGGTAATCTGATGGAGCATCTGATCCCACTACTGTAACTCCACTGTTACTCCCCTCCATAGCCCAAAAAAAAAAAATCACCAAAAAAAATTAAAAAATTTCCCTCTTTTTTTCTTCAAAACCCCATAATTTTCCTTCAATGAAGAAACCAAGAAAAAAAAATTCTCAAAAAAAGCTTAATTAGTGGTAATTTTGAAGTCTAACCAGAGTTTAGCAGAAAAACAGAGCTTATAAGAAAACAAGAAAGTTAAACAGAAATGAAGATGGAAATTATCAGAATTTTTTGTTGAAAATTTTAAGATTTTTTTCAGAATTAAAAGATGAAATTATGGGGAAAACATTGAATTTTTAGGCTTTATTGTAATGAGATTCTTGAGAAAATGTGAAATATGGAGTTTTTGATAAGTTATTAAAAGAATAAAAATAAAAACTAATTTAGGGGTTGCTAACTTTCCTCAGTATGTCCGAATCGTAATTAAAGGAAAATAATAATGATGAAAAAAGTTAATTAATTAATAATTTATTGAATAATTAATATATTGAAGATGGAAAATTATGTATTTTGTTTAAGAAAATGGTTTGGAGTCCGGTTTGGGAAAAGAAAATTCAGAAGAAAAAAAAAGAGAAAAATTGTGGTTGGGAAAAGTGAAATTAGGTTACAAGGCATGAAGACAACCATTACTCTTTTTTTTTTAATATTAAAAAAAGGTATTGAAAATAATAAATAAAAGTATATATTTTAAATTGTATATGACATAAACATTACATCTGTATTTATTAATAACAAATCTTATCAGTGATTAATAAATGCTTTTTCTTTTTATAATACAGACAAAATAGTACGAACATGAAAAAGCAAAAAAAAAAGTGAAATAAGAGGAAAATGTAATTTTGCCTTTTAATTATCTTAAAAATTATTTTCTAATTTTTTGTTAAATCTATGATAAATTATACTTTTTCACAATTCGAAATATTCAAAAATCATTGAGAAATTGTAATTAAAAAAACATTTGACTCCACACTGCCACCACCATATAAATTGAGTTATTTAAAAAAACTGTAATATAAAGTGAGTTAAATAAAAATATTTACTTTACTAATTTTTTTCTTTAATTTTTTTTTCTCTTAAAGAATTAATTTATTATAATATAATGAAGATATAACAGTGTGAGCATATCTTTAAAGTGTAAATTAGTGTTTAGCATAATCACCCAATGGATATGACTTTTAAGCAAAGCAAAGCAATACTCCTTAGCTTATAACAATAAATAAATATAAATAAATTGGCTAATAAAACCTATTTGGATTGGTAATAAAAGTTGTAGGTGCAACAAGTAATTCCAAAAATTACTACTTTTTTTCAGTTTCTAATTAGAAAAATATAAAGAAAGATCGAAGATTAAAATAAAAATTAGTATTCAATTTAATAATAAATTGTATTTTCTTATTAGTATTGTTGTTCTTACTCTTTTACTATATTCATCTTGTTCGTTGATTTCATTATTGTTTATTATTTTTTTTTCTTTGAGTTGGTATTATCTAATGTTGTTACTGTTTTCTTTTCTTTTTAGTTTTAACGTGTCTTCTTACTACTTTACTTTCTAATAAGACTTGATTTTGATATACTTTATTTGAATCGAGAATGCATCGAAAGTAAAGTATATCACACGACATTTTAAAAAATATTTGATTTATTTTATACATACAAAAATAAAGCCTAAAATTTTTTGACTACCATGAATATATGCTCGATTGAAACGGATGTCACAATTAATCTTAAGACAAGTCATGTAGAACCTGACTTTGAGATGAAGATGATTAGGTGTGCAAAAAAAATTTCACGTTGATAACCAATAAAGAAAAAAGCTACATAAAAGTATACAGACTGATATTTGAAAGTGTGAATTTTATTTTATTTTGTAAAAAATCGTATGATTTAACTCAACGTAAATAATATCATATGATACTATAAGTATATTTTGGGTTAATTTATTTGAATAGATAAAAATTAGTTGCGAAGGTGATGAAAAGAATATTTTTCTTTTTTGAAATAGGTAAAAGACCTTTCACGTATTTAAATATTTATATTTAAAAAAATAATAAATTGTGATCTATTTAAAAATAAATTACTTGTCTAATGGGAAACCCACACTAAAATATTCAGAGACTTATGAATTCCATCATTTTCTTTGTATTTTTTGTGGGAGTTGTTGGTTTAAAATAATAATTAAGAAGTCATTTTTAAGTTTATGGTGTAAAATATTACTAATTGTATAATTTATATATTTCTAGTGGAAGCATAAGGATGCCAAATTGCCAAGTGGTAATCAAAGTAATAATTAAGTGTTTAATTAATTTTTTTTTTTGAAAAAAGTAGGAGGTTATGATCAAACTTATCAGAATAATTTTGTATTTATATATTTCCTTCCACTTGCAACCATGATGTGGAAATTGCAGAAACTTCAAGCCAGGTTCAATAACCCAAAATAATAATAATAATAATAATAATAAATTAATAATAAGAAAAAGGACAAGAAATTAAAATATGGGCCATTACACCTGTAAATGTACAAAATTATTTTTTTTAATAATGAGAGAAAGAAAATGGATGGTAGCTTAAATAATTTTACATCCACTCACCAGCAAATATTATATTTTTTGTTGTATTTTATATGAGTTAATTTTATTTTTACAAAATTTAAAATATAAATTATTTTTTTAAAAAAAATTATAATTTTGAAATAAGTTATAGATATTTGTATAGTTATAAATCAATACATTAAAGATATAATAAGAATATGTTATTTTATTGATTAAAAATGAATTATATAAATTGTGATAAAATATCAAACAATTACTTAACAATTTTGGAAGGAAATATTGTTATTATCTAAAAGCTAATTATTAGAAACAATTTTTTCCCCTTAATAGGGGCCTAATTATTACCAAAAATATATATATTGCCTTGGTCAACTTTTGTGGTACCACTAAGGGCCAAATTTCTCCCTTAAAATAAAAGAGAAAAAAAGTCATATTTGTTCATTTATAAAAGAAAAAGATAATTTATAATATTATTGTGCGTTACACTTACGTTTATATATATTTTTTAATTTAATGTTATACTATTAATCAAGATAGTTTCCAAAAATTAAAAAAAAAAACTCAATATTATTATATCAACCTATTTATTTTAACTAAATAATGACATGCTAGCTCTTTATATCAACTCTTTTTTTCATTGTTACCCAAAGTCATTAACACAGTAATCATCGTTAGTAGCACAAATCATTTATACATTTTTTATTTTTTAAAGTAAAACTTATTTATCGATAATTCGATAAAAAAATAATGGCTAAAAAATCTAAATATCAATGATTTTGTGAAAGAAGAGAATTTGATGTATAAGTTTGAATAGGGATTAACGAAGAAAGAGTAGATATAGATATGAGTTATGCTTAATAATTTTAAGAACGTATGAGGATTGATGTTATATCACTAATGATATATGTAGCTCGATATTATAATTCGATGGTAGTATTATTATTATTTTTAAATTATTGAAGAAAAATATAACTTTTTAATCGTAAAAGGGTTAAAAAAAATTCTTGAACTATATGAAAGGAATTTATCTTGTGTTAATAGTTATTGCATATACCCTCCTCGCTATTCAAATAAACTAACGTACACATATTTTTAAATAATAAAAGATTAGCATATAATGTCACACGTTTCATAATTTATAACTTTTCATATCGTTAAAAACAAATTTAATCCTTTTTGGTACGTAATTTAGTGTGATCTTTTGATATTTATAATAAAAGATTCTCTACTAGTTAAATCTAACAAAATAAAGTTTGATAAAAAATTAAAAAGACTAAAAATGTTAATTTTAACAAATTTAAAGAAAGAAAATTGTTAAATGCATACTTAACAGACTATTTTGAACAAACAATAAAACATAGGTGACCATTTTGTCATTTTACAAAAATATGCAATACTGATACACATTCATTTGCTCCGACTCTGTAGGAACTATTGACAGCCTCCATTTTTGTTTGCTTGAATGTATTGTTTTTGCTTAATCTGATGAAAATCTTGAAAAAAATTATGCAGATTTTCTAAAGCTCTCATCTTTCTCTGTAAATACCTCTTTTGGAGTTCCAGGCATAGTCGAACAGTGAAGAACAAAGAGGGAAAATGCTCCCAGTATCAACGGCAAGAATGTGTAGTGGAGCAGAAACAATGAGACAAAAAATTGCTGAAAGGTTCAAAATAGTTATGGGGTTTGCAGGTTTTGAATTCTTTGGTGCATTTCTATGCTCGTTGTGGGTTTATTGGTATTGCTAGGCAGGTGTTTGATGAAATGACTGAGAGGGATGTTGTGTCTTGGAATAGCGTTTTATGTGAAAGTGGGTGAATCAGTTGTCGTGATGGAATGTCATGATGACTGGGTATTTGGATTTTCATAAACCTGGGAAGTGCTTAAAGTTGTTCCAAGAAATGACAAGGCGGGGATTGAATGGTAACAATGCGACGATAGTTGTTGCTCTTTCTACTTGTGCTCGGTCAGCTCGAATGAATGAAGAAAAATCTGTTCATGGGTCTCTTATTAAGGTATCTAAAGGTTTGAATTTGATTGTTAGTTCAACTTTGATTCATATGTATAGTAGAAGCGGAAGAGAAGACATTGCTCATCTAATTTTTGATAGGATGTTGGTCAGGAATATAGTATGCTGGAATGCGATGATTTTGGGGTACTGCATTCATGGGAATCAAAAGATGGCCTTAATCTGTGTGCAGACTTGGTGAATTGTAGTTTAGAAGATGGAGAAATAAATTAGGTTAAGAACATGAAACAAGGCGAAGGGGATCATGTGCTTCCAGATGAAATCACTTTTGTTGGTGTCTTATGCGCTTGTGTCCATGAGGGACTGGTGACACAAGCAGGAAGATACTTCGGCTATATGAGTGATTTGCTTGGTGTAAAGCCCAATTTCGCACATTATTGGTGCATGGCTTATTTTCTAGCACATGTTGATCTAATGCAAGAGCCAAGAGGCAATAAAATAACTAAAGAACATTCCGATAGAGAGCATTTGCCACTATCATCCTCGTTGCGGTCTGAATTGCTTGGCTTAGCTTGTTTTAGAGGGGATGTAATGTTAGGAGAACAAATTGCGAATAAGTTGATTGAACAAGATCCTGAGATATTTTGGTGTCATTTGTTGTTGGTCAACATCTATGCTACAGCTAGTCATTGGGATGAAGCAGCTCAAACAAAGGAGAGGTTCAAGAAGAGAAGTATGGAAAGAGTGCCAGGTTGCAGTTTAAAGAACTTAAAAGAATTAGTTCACAACATGATAGCGACATAAATTGCAGGTATCTTTGTGTGATTCTAGTTAGAGACATCTTTTGTATAAACAGGTGGAGAGATTCCCATCATGATTTTACTGAATAGGACAATGCAGTAGTACAATTGGCTTCTTGGTTTATAATCATTTTGCCCTCTAGTTATTAACATATCAAGGAAGGTATTTTAAGAATCGCATGACACTGATCTCTACTGGTCATCTGATCTTATCGGTGTCACAGATGACGCCTCCTCTTGTAGTTGGTGTTGTTTATTTTACATGTGGAATAGCCCTTGCCTTTAAGGGAAATCCATTGTTAGATGCATGACTCCAAATGTTCTCGTATGATACATGGTCACAAAGTTTATCCTACATCTTGAAACTATATTGACTGGGAACTTAACAGTATACTTTACAAATAATTCTTTACGTTAAAGGAAGATTGCATTTGGCATCATTAACAAATCATTTTCCTTTATTGTTAAACTTAGTTGCAGTACATTCCATTTTTTGGTAAATAATTTTACTCATACTTGAAGACTATCATTTATTTTTGTGAAATATGAATATATTCCTGGTTGATGGGGTGTCTGCACTGGGCAGGTGTTAAAACCCTTTTTATTTGTGGTCCATCTTTCAAAGCCCCATTGTTTCTGTAAACAGGGACTTATGTAAGCGGCTTTGTATTCCATCTAAAATCTTCATGCTATTAAAATCGTCGTGGTTGTGAGTAATAGAAGATTGATTTGATCTGAGCAATCTTCTTCTCTAAGTTTAAAAAAGAAAATAAGTTGGCTCAATTAGTTACTTTCTTATCATATTTGTATATGTGACAATTTGTCCATCTGCACTACTAGTCCGAGTTGATGTGTATGTAAGAGCAAATATACTAAGTTTTGTGGTTAACTTTAACTAGTAACTGACTACTCTATGTCAAATGTTGCTTCTGTGCTGAGACTTTCACTTTTAATATAGTGGATTTTGGCAAGGACTTCCATTTTACAGTTTGATACTGTCAAAGTTACCTTTCCTTCTTTTGGTAGATAGATTTTTTTTCACTGGAGGTAATAGAATTGAACTGTATTAGCAAGCTTTTAACCATGTTAGCTTAACTTGATGAGCTAGCTATAGAGAGACATGGTAGATCAATGCCTAACAACGTCTCTAAGTTAATCCACCAGAATATCTTTGAAATTTTACGCAAACCTTTAAACTGGTACCCCATGTCTTAGATTTCAAATTCTTTGGGCATAAATTAAACATCTTATTACTGTTTTCTTCATTTGAAATACAGTTGTCTGTGCTTCTTTGATACTATGGGGGCTAAGAAAGGAGAAATTTAGAATGTGTTAGAATCGAAAGTCAGCATCAGAAACATCTAAACATCATGGTAAGTTCCTTCATGCATTTGGTGTGAATTACTGAATAATATTTCTTTTTATTTGAGATATAACGAATTGTATACCTTTGTGATCTCAGGCATCCTGTTGATTGTTCCTCTCTTTAGTCTAAAGCTGTGCCCTTGTCTAAGAGTGGTGCAAAGTAGAGCTTTACAGGAAAATAGCACCAAGATGTTTGAGCTCATGGTATTCCCTATCTCATCTGCTAATGATGTTGTTAAGAAGTCCCACATCGGTAGAGGGATAGGAAATTGGTTTCCTTGTATGGAGTTGGACAAACCTCCCCTCGTGAGCTAGCTTTTAGGGTTGAGTTAGGCCCAGATGAGTAGTAGTTGGATTTAAAGTACTCTTCGTATGTCTATTTTAATCCTATTGTTTTTCTAAGAGTATTTGACATTATGATAAATTTATGTATAGAACTTCCAATATTACTATTTATTTTATTTTGAACCTTTTATTTACTTTTTCTTTTAGTTAGTATAATGATCACATGAGTTCAACTAAAATGGAGAAACACGATCAATGAGTATTCATATAGCTAATTTCAATTTGTTTGGGATTGATGCATGTTTGTTGTAGTTTTTGCAGGATGTCCTTCAACACTAGTGAACTAACTCATGCTTTGAAAATTGAAATCTCGGGTCGTAATGTGAGTTTTCCATGACTTCAAATTTAGTCGGCCCTAATATAAATATGGAACACCAGAAAGAAAAATATTATAACCCCTTATGATGATTGATTTCAACTCCATTGCTTTTCTTGTCACACAAAAGGGAAAAATAATTTTGTTGCCTTCCTTCATGTTGGGCCAATAATAATATGGTAGGAAAGACACCAGGTAGCCATTTGTGATTACATTATTTAAAATATAATCAATTTTGATATACACTATTTAAAATTTAGTCAGTATTGGCAACTTCATATTGTCATTTGAATGGTTTATTATTAAAATATAAAAGGAGGCTTGATTTCCATGCTATTGAATTTTAGTTAAGACGTTTTTCCATAATCTAACTTTTCTTCTTTTTTCCATGAAATAGAACTGTCTAATTCAAATCGAGCAGGATCTGAACTTCTAAAAGTTTGAATTTGAGTTAATAACTTTCGATTATTCTATAAATAGGGTATCTTTATATTTGCCTCTAGTTAACATTATAAAAGAAAATTTAAATATTTTTTCTAAGTGTCCTTTAAATTGTAAAATTATTAGAAGAAAGGGAAAATTGCATATAATAGCAAACTAATAACCTAAAATAAATAGAGTAGTTAGGGTTTGATTTAATTGTGCTCCAAAAAAATTGTCAAGCGCCTCTTTCCCAAATATCTCGCTCGCCACTCTCCTCCAATCTCTCGCTCGCTTCCTCACTTTTTATACAAACACAAGAGTATAAAAATTGTTTTAAATTGTATAAAACAGAGAAAAATGTATAAATACATATATTTTGTTCCCTCTTTCAGATCTCGCTCGCCACTCTCCCAAATCTCGCTCGCCACCCTCGCCTTTCTCACTTATACAAACAGAAGCGAAATGTATAAATTGCGTTTCTGTTTGTATAAAGCGTGAGAAAATTGTATATACACATGCAAGTACATATATTTTCGTCCTATACACTTATAATTATACAATAAAAATACTCCCCTGCCCAGTTTCTTTTGTTTTTCTCTCTTTCTCGTTTTATACAATTTTCAAATTGTATCTAATTTCTCTCTTTCTCGTTTTATACAATTCGATTCAATTGTATATTCCTTGTCAAGTCTCTTTTGTCTTTCTCTCTTTCTCATTTTATACAAATTCAAATTGTATATAATAATTCTATACACTTATAATAATACAATGCGTTTTATACACTTCGTTTTATACAGTTCTCTGCCCAAGTGTCTTTCTCTTTCTTGTTTTATACACTTCGTTTTATACAATTTGCTTCAACTGTATATGTATAGCGAATTATACAGTTTCTGTGTTTGCTATGGAGAGCAATTATGCAAACTTTGCTATAGCATACAAATATGAATTTTTTATTTGCTATACGCGAAAGTTTTATGAAACCAAACAAATAAACATTGCTTGCATAGCCATAGCCGGCATTATTAATCTTTTAACCCTAAAATTGTTGTATTCATGAAAATTATGACCAAAAAAAATCATTGAAATTTTTTATGTTGTGTTTTCTAGAAAAATAATGTTTTCATAAAATTAAAAAAAGAACACCACGATCTTATCTTCCTCTAATTGGTGAGGAAGTATCAAAAATACAAAAAAGGCCTTTTGTGTAGCTTAGCAAAATTGACAACTTATATTAAATGATGAATTCTTTGGCCTTATGGTAAAGCCAAAAAAAAGAATATAGTAATACATTTTTTAAAGAGGACAAATTAAATTTAAATTGGATATTCGACGAATTATATTTTCAAATGAAAATATGAAATAGTGTAGTAGTTAGTTAATTAGTTATATTTTATTATATTATTTGGTAGTGCTTCATAATTATATCATGAGGTTTGGCTTATTGTGTGTTAGATAATGTTTGGTAGTAAAGGATAAAGCACATTAACTAGAACCATGTATTGTATTGTACTGTACTTTATTTTATTTAATTATAAAGATGTATATTAATTGATAATATAATTTATTTATTATTTATTTTACTTTTCTTAAGATGAAATAGTAGTGTCATTTTATCACAGATAGTTTTTGTAATTAAGTAAATTATTTAAGCAACTTGATAATGTAAATATTGTTAATTGCTCAAGAACAAGAACATCGTGCCACACATATAGCAACATCATAAGAGTAAACAAAACGCTGAAGAATCTAATTAGGTACATATGAAAGTGAAAGGGTTGGGAATAAAGGACAAAGACGATTTTTTTATTTTTATTTCGAGAGATCTAACTAGTTTCGATTTATATTGAAAATAATTTTATTCTGAAACCTTGAAATTGGAACAATACAGTGATTAGAGGACAAAGACATAATATTGAAGGTCCAAATTTTGGTCAAAGGCTCACAATAATGATATATTTTAATGTTGTTTATGAAAGGTCAAATTAAAGTAGATTTCTATAGCTGTCCATGAGGCTGCATATGTAAGAAAGAACCAAACTTAGAGATAAATGACATGTTATAATCTTTATTGACTTTTAACGACATTTACAAAGAGTTTAATAGTGGCAATTAACTATTGTTATTTATAATATACTATTAAAGATCATTTTTAGTATAATATTTATATGATCGTATTATATATGTAGAATATCAAGAGTTTCTTTATTTTATATTTGAATAAAAATAAAGAAAATTCATCTATTCCATCGTACTCCATGGAAATAACCTATATTATTAGATCAAAATTATGAACTCTTTTGCCCTTCAATACTACTATATTATATAATATTATAGATGAAAAATATTTGAAGTTAATTTTTCTTGTTTGAGTTTTACACAAACGTGACTCATTGTTGTCTAGCACTATATATTCCACTTTGAGCTAATTCTTAATGATTGAACTAAATATTCCATTTAACATAATTTAAAAATATATTATATTCTCGTTAATATTCTATAGTGGAATAACTTTATTATTTCAATTTTTAACTTGAAGAAAAGAAAAGGATGCAATTATTAGTAGTAAAATTAACCATCCACATAAGGAGTATTATCATCCAATTAAAGAGATATGTATAACTTAAAACAAAAGCAATATAAGTGTCACATTTATGATTTATCATTGTGGCTTAATCTTTGAGAATACTAATCAATTAAGTTATTAATTAATTAAGACCCTTAAGAATATTATCTAGACCATTATTAATTTTTTGAAATGTTTTTGTGGCCTACAGAATATATTACTTTCGATTTTCAGATAATTATCCACTTCTTTTGTAGCAATATACCACCTATTTTCTTGGAGGATCGTACATCAAGAATATTATATTTTATATGTAAATATATTGGGAAACTTTCAAATATAGCTATTTAAAAATAGTTAATTTCTCTCCATAGCTATTGTTTGATAATTACAATTTATAGCTACATGTTACATGGAGGAGAGAGGCGAGCGAGACTGGGAGAGAGAGGAGAGAGGTGAGAGAGGGGGGAAAGAGTGGGAGAAAGATGAAATGTATATGTATATTGATTTTTGATAATTGTATATTATACATATGTATTTGTATATATGGCAAGAGAAATTGGGAGAGGGAGGAGAGAGGTGAGCGAGACTGGGAGAGGCGAGCGAGAGAGGGCAGAGTGCGGGAGAGAGGTGAATTGTATATGTATATAATGTATATAACTGTATATTATACATATACATTTGTATAAATGGCACGCGGGGTTGGGAGAGGGAGGAGAGAGGCGAGCGAGATTGAGAGAGGGAGGAGAGAGGCAAGCGAGAGAGGATAAAGAGTGGAGAGAGGTGAATTTTATATGTATATAGGTTAAAAAATTGTATATTATACATATATATTTGTATATCCTGGCGAATTATACATATACAAACATGACTAATTATACAAACTCGAAGTAATCCCACATGATTAATGTATAATGTTAGTCGAATTGATAATTATATCAAACTATAGCTATGATGACTAATTAAATAGTATAAGTTTACTTAGCCGCGTAATTTTCTCAATATTAAATTCATAAATATGATTTAAATATCTCCTCTAAAGTAATTTTTGCGAATTAAAGTTACATTTTAAGCTTTAAACAAAATATTCTGGTGGTCAGAGACAGAGCTAGAGGGGGAAAAGGAATTTACTCAAAATCTTTTTCAAACTAAAATTTTATAATATAATATAAAATCAATGTTTTTAAAAGGAAATTTCATTGGCAATACGCCTATCTCTTTAATCTTTTTTTACTTTTCACTCTGTGTTTATAGTTCACATTAAGTCTCGATTGAATTTGAATGACACACTGCAAGGGCTCATTCGAGGTGACGCTCCCAACATGATTTTCTCCATACCTAGAGCTCGAATTCTTTCTCTCAAACTAAGAATGAGACAGTCTCACTATACCACAATTCATATTAACTATCGTGATCCGTTTAGCTTTGGAAACTATAATATTGATGAATAAAGACAAATGAATTTTCAAAAAGCAAATAAAGGAAATTTCCTTGACAATATAATATATAATGTACCTCCTCCCCTAAAGATTAGGAAACTACGTATACCATGTTTTAGAAGCAAATAAAGGAAATTTCCTCAACAATATAAAATATATAATGTACCTTCACCTTTTAAGATTAGGAAGCTACCAATACCATGGTCCATATAATTTATTTTTTTTAAAAAAAAACATTCTTAGAAATAAAAGAAATTTCCCAAGAATAGTAAACTTTTGGAAGTTGTTGCTTAAAGTGTCCTTTAACATCATAAAATTATATTAACAAACTATTGACATTTTATTTTGTGAATATGAGCTAATGTCACACATCGAAATTGGATTAAATATTTT